AGACTTGGGTAATACAAGTATCGTATATCATATGCGCTTGGTATTCGAACCGGATTGTTAATTTTCGGAGTGTTTGTATTTTTTGATTTAGCTTTATAAAATAGGTAAAAACACCTAGGTACTCTACCTGTATCTAAGTTTAAAAGTTTTAGAAAAATATGAATTCTATCGTCGTATTGGTAATTGAACGACCCCATAGGTCAATGCTAAAAGATTTGACTCAGATTATGTGAGGTTGTCTGAATTAGATTCTCAGGTGAGATGAGACACACACATAAAATAATCATCTTTTAATTTTTCCCAACATTGATTAGGTCGACAATTCCAAATAGCCTCCAAGTTTTCTCTGATGCTGAAAAATATACGAGTACATATAAAATTAAACTTAAAACATTTTACCGGTACTGCGATGGCTGCGCCCACGCAGGCCCCACACCGTCCCTCGGAACACGTTTTGAAACACCTCCAGTAAGTAATGCAGGGACAGGTTACAAAGACAAATAAAAACTACGGGAGGTAGGGATACGAGTAATCTGCATAATATTGTAGTATAAAAAATGATTCGCTGAAAATAAAAATTTTCCAATAACAATAAATTAAAATACCTACCCCCGGAACATAAAAATAAAAACAACTACGGGAGGTGGAGGACTTTACATGCCTAATATTTTGATGAAAAGAATAATCCCCCGGTACACAATGCAAGAACCTGTTATAAAGACAAATAAAAACACCTATGGGAAGTAATAATCTCTCTACATAATATTCTGCTACAACAAAAAATATTAATTCGCTGAAAAAAAATCTAGTGCAAGGACAGGTTATAAGGACAAATAACAAGAACTACTGGAGGAAGGGTAATAATATTCTGCTACAAAGAAAAATATTTTATCAAAAAATAATTAGCCAAGAAAATTGATAGAGTTGCCACAATATTTTGAGCCTTGTGTCAAACAGTTGCTTCGCCAGTGCTTGACAGTGCTTTGACAAGCTGTAATTTTGAGCTGGATTGGCGGCAACGAATTAAAATCAATTTTATTATTGAGTCAGTAGGATATGGATTATGGCCTATTCGGACTGAAGCGATAATAAGATACAGAGAGCTACGTCTTCAAAATGAGATCTGTATTTTTATTTTAAAAAGCTAATTATCGTTATCTACTTCAAATTAAAATTCTTCGTATTGACTATAGTTTAGGTAATATGTATGTTTAACTAGAAATCTTTAATTATGAAGAAAATGGAATAGCGTAGGTAGTACCTATACATTACTTATTTATTTGCTAGAAAACATATGAAAAACTCCGCGGTCACTACTCTGGACAGAAAATGATACACATTTCATGTGTTATAAATGTTAATTAACATTTGTGTACAGTTACAACTCAATATTATGTTCTTAACACCTATCTTCAATAGTATTCATTCACAACGCATTGTTATTACAGGTACAGTAAACATGTAATTGTTCGGAAAAACTGACAAGTGTTTATGTAAACTTTTCCCACAATTACACACGCCACAATACTTTATTCAACTTTTATTTTATTGAAAATAACGAAAGCTTTTCCAATCCAATGGTTTTTTCATGTAACCAATACTTATAAGTACATAAATATGCATATTGCACATGTTCATTTAGGTAGTACGGGTGAGTTGCAATAAATTATCATAACATAAATTATGAATGAATGAAACGTTAATGTATCAAAAATATATTCGATTTACAATATAGCCCGCAGCTAAAGCTATACCTATTCATGCGTCATCAACAACACAATTAAATGTAGCACTATAGCTACAAGTACAATATGTATTACATTTAAAATGGAACATATAGGCCGTCCACTAGTAATTGCGGCCGTCGGAAGAGGCATCAATCACGGGCGAGGCGCAACAACGAAAACACTGTTAGTTTTGCCGCCGAAATATTAATTACATTCCCACAAAAAACTCACACACGACGCCGAAAAGCATAAATTTCTTCCTTTTTCAACGCACAAAGGAGCCGTGGCCGAACAATATAACGCTAAACAGATTAAGCCGGCCGACACGGCCGTCGCGGCATAATTTTTGGCGCCAGTAGTCCTACCTCTAGATTAAACTAATATGAAAAGGAAATTGACTAGAAAATGGACCAAGGCCCTATATGTCATTAAGGATTCGTTACGCCGCTCCAAAAAGCCGCCCTTATTTATTTGACTTAATTGAATTAACATTTCGGTAGTTTTTATTGACTGTTAGTAATGTTCGGAACTAACTTTAATGGGCAATTTTTAGAAAATAACAATAACGTTTATGTGACGGATATTGCTTTATAAATAAATTGCCTGTTTTGGATGTGATAAAATATTTCACAGTAATGAGATAGGCGGTGATTCTTTAATAGTTTAGAAGTATACTAAATATTGTTGCTATTATTGAACGTTTATCTGAAGATAGTTTTATTATTTCTAATAGTTTTCTACTTTTTTGTTAAATAGGAAAAACCTGATGTCTATTTAGGTACGAGTAGGTAGGTATTATTATCATTTGTCCCTTGAAATATTCGTCCATTTGAACGATCATGAGATTTATTATTCAAAACGTACAGTCAACTAAATGACGACATTACTATTCAAGAGCGGGAAGTACGAAGAAAATTTCCACATAACGTTTTCTGGCTTATATGGAATATTGTAGTGATAGCTTAGGGTCCACTCGACCCGTGGGGCGTCCGCCATTGCTATTCATGGGCCCGGGAGACCGTGTCGTCCTGTAATGCACCGCTTATGGTGCGTGCTAAATCGACAATCCTCTGGGGTGCTATCTGCCTAATATACCGTTTCAAGAACTCGCTATTTGGAACGTTTGTTCTTGAATTAGGCTTATAGACCGTTAAATGGGCTTCCTGATAGTGATGTTTGGTTTGGCAGAAAGTCAGATGTTATCATTTCAATGTTAGTTAAGTTCAATTGCTGTAGAATTTTTAATTAATAGAATCTTATCTAACAATTGATATGGTATGTATGTTACCTAATTAGCCATCCCTAGCCCACGTAGTATAACGACAGAACGTGAGATAAGTTAGTATAGTATAGTGTTATACTAATGTGTGTTGACTATGAATACATAACCTCACTTCCACTCAAAGGTAGAGCAGTGAGTGAAGTAAGTGAGTGAAGTGAGTGAGTAAAGCTTCACAGCAACAATCTGTCGATTGCTTAGACTTTGACATCACTTTGCAAGTTGCAACAGTCAGTCAAGTCAATGGTCATGAGGTCACGAACTGTCATGACATTATACTTATAGTCTAACGCTCAAAGCTGGTCTCGTGAGGAGCAAGCTCGGACTCACATTCATGAGCAGGTCCGGTGAGGAGGAGCCCTTGCCGCTCATGGCGCCGGCCGCGAGCGAGGCGCGAGGCGCATGTCACTCTCACAACACTCCCGAAGCGGCGCAGGCGGCGCGGGCGGTCTGCTAGCGCCGAGCGATCGCGACTGCCGCGCGGCGGCCCCCACCGTACCACGAGCGCCCCACCGCTACCGGCTGCCTCATTTCTCACTATAATTTGCGTGCTGCTCGTTTTTTACCATTATTACTCCCTCGTTTTGTTTTACGTATTATCGAGTGCATCCCGCTCGCACCGGCGGCCATGCGCGGTGAGCGCCGCCCAGATAATAGCCAGTGCAATTAGGGACGGCCGCGCGACACCGCACAGCCACTGACAGCGCCATCTCGGGACGAGCGGCGGCATCAAGGATTGCAAACTCCCATCCAACTCCAGTCCTCCACAAAATAGGAATCCAAAACAGTTCTTCTTCTAACCATGTCATCTAAAGTAACTTGCTCCACATTTTTGTCGAAGATGAAAAAAAATAAAGCTCAAACCTACCAGTACTACTACTATAATAAAATAAATACCTGAGTAAAAAGTAGCAACTGATTTCATTACTAGGTACCTACTTGCAACCTATACCTATACAGACATTTTCAAAAGTAGGTATACTTAATCACATTAAAAATTAAAAAAGTCTAAAAAAGCTCGTGCGCTCAAAGACTCATAGTAAAGCTCGATACAGCTTTTTTACTGAAACGCTACTGAATTTACTTATTACTGATATTATTTATATATCATGAAGAACATATAACAAAAATTCATAAAATAAGTTATTTTTACGTCACGTTCATAAACAAGACATCAACGCAATATAAATTACTAGATTTTACTTAGCATTTTTATATTTCAATAATGTATCTTTCAATCTTCTCTATTTCCACCATAAAATATGATTTCGTACAATGTATGAAAGTGTAGAAAGCGTTTTAATAATTTTTACAGTAGAAAACTATCAATATGAGGTAAAACTATCTGCTACGGTTTTCGTAGCACCGCGTAGACGTGGCGTAGCTGCTACGACAAAGCATTGCTCCATTCTTTTTATATTTTAATAATGTTACTTAGCAACACCAGTGAATTACAAATTGAATTATTAATCCTTCAAGCTCCGCGAATCTAGACACAATAGATAATCAATTGTTATGACATTAATTAATGCCGTCTGGGACTCAATCGGTTAATAGTGACGGAATAATAATATATTGGAAACTCACAAGGTACATTTCAAATATTAGTGACCATGAAAGATAAAGAAAAAAAAATGTTATGCTAAATAACTATTACACTGGTATTTGGAACGCAAGACCTGATTTTAGCCACGCTATTTCTCAACCCACAGAATTTATTTTATCATTTTGTTTATGATTTGATTATTTCATAAAAACATCTTAGACTTTCAGTTGAGATATTAACAAGCACATGTATTTGAATATTTGTAAATTAAATCTGGCAAATGACCCTGACTAACAGATTTCACATAAAAAGTTAGGGGATTCCAAAAATAAATAATTAACCTTTTAGAAAAATAGCTTTATTGGAATTTCAGTTTCTTATACCTAATAACATAAAGGCACATATTAAAATGGCATAAGAATGTTTTCTCTTTTATTTAATTTGTAGAGACATCACAATTATTTTGTGGTAACTAACAGACTATTAACCATGGCTTAAAATATCTATTTTTATAACCAAACAGTCACTTATTTACAGTTTAACACTTTTATCACACAGATAACATGCAAAAACAGTTTTAAAGCTTTATTGTCCTAGTGCAACGGGGGGTTGGAAGTTGTAATGTCCTTGGAACACTGCGTAGGTATCTTTAGTCGCGCACTGGTATGAAGATATTGGGACCGGGTACTGCTGGTACATTCTGTGATCCCGAACTGGCGCCCGAGCGTACAGCGAGTCCTGTCTCACTTCTGGGTACCAGTTGCTCATCACGGCTCCACTACCGAACGTCGAGCCGTTGTAACTGTTGGCACTTGGTACCACGTTAGGTGCAACTGAAGCGTAGTTTATCGACATAGGTTTTGGGCCGCCCGCCACTGGCACTGTTCCGTAATGAGTACTCCCGACGGTGGACACTGGTGCAGTATGAGGAACGTTCGTCATCGCTTGCTCAGGCTTCTCGGACACTTTAGGCGCCTCATCTTTCTCGTCTTCCTTTGTTTTCTTATTTTTCCTCGACACGTTAGCATGAGTCTTGACGTGCTTTGCAAGATGATCGGATCTCATAAAGCGCTTTGTACACAACTGGCAAGCGAACCTCTTCTCGCCGGTATGCGTTCTCAAATGTCGCTGCAACTCATCAGAGCGCGTGAATCGTTTGCCACAGAAGAGCCAGTTGCACACGAAGGGCCGTTCACCGGTGTGCCAGCGGAGATGAGCTTTCAAGTGTGAAGTCTTTCCGTAGACTTTTCCACAACCGGGGACGTGGCAGACGTGCTCGCGCTTGGCTCCATCCTTGCCGTAATTTGGGCCAAAGCCAGCGGCTTCGGTAAGGCAGTTAGGACAGCGGCACTTTGCACAACGGCGCTGTAGTTCCCTGGCTTCCTCGGCAGCCGCAGCAGCAGCGGCGGGTGGCCAGTACGCCGGGTACTGCGGAGGGTATGGCGGCAGCTCACGCCACGGAGCGGCGCCACACCATGCTCCTGAAGACGCACTACTACACGATGAGAGGTCTGATGCTGGAGACAAAGTATCCCCACGGCCGTAGCCGCATCCGTATGTCGGCACCATATTCATCATCTGAAAATAAAAACCACCGTTAAAATATTTCAAAAACATCTTACAGACTCTACAATTTGTAAACGTCAATCTACACGACCACTATTTAGATCTGAAACTAACTAACAAAGTCCAACACAAATCCAACGTTCAAACCGGATATTATTCTATTAGAGAAAAGTGTTGTTTACTGCAAATAAACTGTCAAAACGCGAGTTAACAAGCATAGGGCGTAGGCGGGCGGACGGACCTGTTGCGCGGGCGGATCCACGTACTGCATTTCCGGCAACGGTGACAACGCAACGCGGCGAAACTTCCAACTGGATAATTACAGGGCGGCACACCGCTCGCGCCGAGACGTTTTTAATAACTGGCTTGGTGGAATAGACGTAACGAGCGGTTGTCACCTCGTCCCTGCCCCGCGCCGCGCCCCTAGGGCCCCGTACCCCGACCCCCGGCCCCCGCCGGCGCCGGCGCAGCCTCCGACACACCCCACCCCAGCCGTGAGTTATGAGCTTACGAACATCGGCTCTTATGGGAAAACGATCCGAGACATACACTGTTGCGTTTACTTTTATCCGCCTTATTATTAAAAGGCGGTTACGCATTTATTAATGTTTAGAAGCCTAATCTGTTTCGTGTGAAATTTTTGGGCGATTGAACGTTGAGAGTTGAGCGTTAATGGTTTGTCCTTTCATACTTAGTATCTGGTACTTCTCTACATGTAGGTAACATATTTTTAAAAGTAACAATTAGATACCTACATCAGTTTGTGTTTTGTGTTTTCTGATTTATCTAAATGTAGTCAGTAACTACTTGCGATTGTTTGGTTTTCATTGTCTAGATTGATTGATTTTTAGGAAACCACCATGCAGCGTTGCCAGACGTCCCGATTTCGGCGGGACGTCCCGATTTTTAAATCAAATTTATATGTCCCGCGCGGGACAGGCTCGGTCCCGCTTTTCGGAGAGAGACACTCACTTCACCAGACTTGTTTGAAACGCCATATTATTCTAAAGAATATTTTATTTTATTTCAAATTTTCTTTTTTTTTTTCTTTTTTTATTCTAAAGACGGATTTCACGATAGACTAAATCTGATTTAAAAATTATTTTTTTTTGTGAAATTACAGTTTCTATGGCTTCTTTTGCTATCTATTGTCACGTAAACGTAATTTTAAGTTAAATAAAAAGACAAATATTTGAAAACCTTTGATTGTATACGTTTTTTTACTATGTCCCGCTTCTGACGGAAGAATCCCGCTATTTTCACTCAAAAAGTACCAAAGTCTCGACTTGGCGAAAAAAAAAACTGGCAACGCTGCCACCATGGCACACAATATAATTACGAATCGTATAATTAATAATTAGAACCTGCGACGAACGCTCCATTATAAAGTCACAGAGATATTTAATAAATTGTCACACTAAATTCTACTTAATAAAGAGATCGGAGTCTCTACATTAAAATTCTATGTGTCTTCGATCCCATTTTATAAAATATCAGTCTACATCTTTAGATTTTTGTATGATGTTTGTAGAGCACTATGGACTGACTGAAACTTCTGAATTAATTATAAGATTTTGTATTTAAATTTAAGTATCATCTTTAGTAAACTAATAAGCCAGTGCTAACGGATGCTTTAAACTTGTACTAATTAATACATTTTTCAAGCTTTTACGTCTCTCACTTTACAAAAAAACTTAATTTTAGAAATGTAGGTAATGAAAGGTTCTCACACAATTTACTCATTACAATACTACAAATTACATGAAGACGGTTTCTGAAAACAGAAATGGTTCCTAATACACCTATCAGTATTATTTTACGTTTCTCTCCGGGGCCGGTTAATGTTTTTAATTTTTTCTCTATTTCGGTCGGCAGTTCGCGGCAGACGCATGATTTATGCATATTCGACCGGGGCCAAACCTTTAATTACACGTTGTTAAAATATGGCAGTTTGTTAAATCGTTCCCTTGCTTTTGTTTTACTAAACGCCGCGCTCTCTAAAGAGAACTAACGTTTGCTTCTACTCACTAAACTTAATATATTTTTTATTCGTCTAATTGCCTGCCCGTCTGACAGGATAAACTTAGTCGTAAAAAATAAACGCTCTCCATAGATTTGAATTAGCAGAAATGGGCACTGTCTACGACTTAATGAGATTTGCAACATGTTGCCTTCCTGCCTTCATTCGGATAAATAAACATTAGTAGGTAGACATTTTAGTTTCAAGAAGTTTAGAAATGAGTTGAATCGTAAGTTAACGCTCTACTTAATTACCTAATAATTAATTAATAGACCCAAAAACGTAAAACTGAGGAGGTACTTCATTATATCGTCACATACATACATACCTACTACTACCACAGAAAAACGTTATTACAAATCTTATAACAAATTAAATACTTAGTAGGAATTCTATAACTCTACCAACATTTTATGTTACTTTGTCCTATGCTCTAAGAATAGTCACAGAAGCTTTCGCCAGCCAGTCGTAAAATAACCAACGCCACAAACTAATTAACAAAAAGATGCTCAGTACTCGTTTCTCAGTTTGCCATTGATGGAAACAAAAACATTCTGCGAACGGCCGCTACTTGTTACACTGTTCACTTAACAATCACAGTAACCTGTCGACATGTTTATGACTGTATAGAACAAATGCCCGAGCCTATGCAAGTGCCAGGGCTACCGTTCTACGAGCGTCCACAAAGGCCCCATGCAGTGGACAATGCTGGGTACTAATGTGCTATGATCGGACTCCTCAAGCCATAAATCTAAGTCCGTGTTTTTTACAGCAAAAAATCTGGACTCTTCAATCATCTGAGATAACACGTGATGAAACTCGCCGACAATCGGCACCGACTGGACACTTGTTCGTAATAAATTATTGGAAAGTATTGATGACACCCTCCACCATAGTGGAGGAGGCTCATAGTCCAGCAGTGGACTGTAAAGGGCTGTTGATGATGATGATGATTGATGACACGTAAAAATAATTTTATGTTAAATCTTATCCTAGGTCATCAGGCCATCCCTTATTTCGCGAAGCATGTCATAGCTAAGCTTATGATTGTATTTAAGGCTTAGTCCACAGTAGAAACATAATTAATAAACATAATTAATTTGTTAATAGTTTGTGTGTTAGGTAAATTCATGTTTCTACGACTAAAATCATTCATTTGATTTTTTTTAATAAAATCCTTTTTGGAAGAAAAAAAAAACAATAAATTGTTTTCCTTTTGCGGTAACAGTAGACTGTATTCATTTAATGGAGTCTGTACCGGCCTGCAGGCATTATTTTAATTTTTTCCTTGACTACTTTGGGTGCCACTCTGGCTCCCAACTCCTGCGCACAATACGTCACCCGACACTGCGGCGGCACAAAGCCGTGGGCGCAAAAGACAGGAAGCAGGACAACGCGATCAAACCAATCGCCCGCCCATGATATATGAGAACGGTAATTACAGCAAGATATCTGGCCACTTGAACGGAAGTGAAGTGGAAATTGATTCTATCGGGAGCAATGCAAATACCTATATTTTTGTTTTATAAAAAAAAATATACTTAGGTAAGTAAACGCTGGGTCTGGTCAGTGCTACCTGTAATTGATTGTGTTGCAAAGTTAAACAAAGCTTCAGATTACTGACAACGAGTCTATAAATAGGCGCAAATTAAAAAGTAAGTTTCACTAGTCCAATATAGTAAGCTACACCTACTTACTCGAATGCCAAATTACCTCTTAATAAGAATACCTACCTTAAAACCTCAAATTAGACAAAAAATATACCTAGCTATTCGAAGGCAGCATCTGTAAAAAAGTTTTATCTGTAAAAATGTCCATTCACAAACTTTTTAAACGAAACTTGATCTTTGACTGTCGCAAAAAGTTTAAAAAGCTCAGGTGTTGCATATAATCGCATAATAGTATAAGTCTTACGTTTCTATTTTATAGAAACGGACGCTCGTGTTATCTGATCGGAATAGATTCGGAATTCCGCTCAGTTTATCCCAAAAGACCTAATACGTAATCTGTTGGCGACTGATCTTCCCAATCGCTATCAAAAATAGCTGAATCTCTAACTAGCTTGAAGGCGTTTGATAGCGATTGGTCGCTTTTAAAAGTCCTGACACAGACGATGGTTCTGTAAAGGAGTGAACATCGAAAGGACTCTATTGTCACATGTAACAGGATCGCGATGTACCTGTCTCACAATGCATGCAGTTTCGCAAACTATGCTCTTTTGTAAGTGATTAGATGAAAAAACTGGATATTTTTTGCATTGCAACCGCTTAAGATAATGTTTGAGATTTTTTCACACGCTCTATCGATACAAACAAAAGTAACTGGGACATGAGGATAACACTTTCTCGTGTGTTTTTCAATTCGATGAATATCTTTTTAGAATAATAAAATAATTGGTTTACCCTTTTCGTGCAGTGAGATACCTACCTCCGCCGGACTTTTGATTTTTATTTTACCCAGATGTCGCGGGTTTGATTTCGGGCGCAAAATTTTCCGCACGGTTTAGTTGTTGGTAGAGCTTGTTCTAATAGCTAAGTACGACCTTAATAATATTACCAGTATACCACTACCTTACTCTCTCACCACCGTAACAGAATTAGGCAGTGACTCTACAATCTAATAGATCGATGTACCTAAACAAAATCTCTTACAAAACCATATCAATACCTAATAATCGTATAACGGAAGACACATCATCATCATCATCATCATCATCAACATCATCATCATCAACTCAGCCATAGGACGTCCACTGCTGAACATAGGCCTCCCCCAATGCATTCCATGTTGACCGGTTGGTAGCGGCTTGCGTCACCTTACTGTAATTGTTTTTTGCTGATGTCGTTTTATCGTTACTGTAATCCAATAACAGTTGGACTGTCCCCTGGGACTAATAAATTGATCCTTTAATTACTCTTGTTGTATTGGCGATCAATGCAACCAATATGCATTTTAGGACACATTTCTTCCAAAGATGAAATAATATATATTTTAACGAAACAAAATCAACGGTAGCATTAATAAATATCGGTTTCTGTTAGATAATTCCAGACATTAATATATTTACTATAAAAATAAAAACATGAGAGGCCGTCACAGGGTCCGTCAAAAAAACGGTGTAGGTAAAAGAATTCTGCGGAGCGACGGCGCCCCGCGGTGCAGCGGCGGCCTTCAAACGGGGCTCCTTTGCGCAGTGACAGCCGAAATCGCCCTACATCACCAGAACATCCCCGACCACTGGGCCCAGTTTGTTTTACTCAACAAGCCAGCCGAGCGCTGTTAATGACACATTTGACGCCGGCTCATCGTTAGGAGCGTGCGATTAGACACA